TCGTCCAGTGGTTGGGCACTCCTTAGCCCAGAGGCTGGGTTTGCCTTGAGTCTCACACCTTTATTGTCCCTGTTCTGAACTGTATTCCCTTTACCTACAGAGCTGATCCTGCAGATGTCACCTTCAGGTGCTTGCATTCTCTCTGACTTTTGCCTTTCTGTGCAGTCCAGGGTGGTGTCTGCTTGAGGTCCAGCTGGCTGCACCATCTGGGGCAGTGGCAGTGGCAGGGACCCAAATGCTGTTTCTGAGTAATTAGATCAGGTAAATACTCAAAGCCTCCAGAAACCCACCTCTGCCTGCAGACTGATTGGATTCAGCCTCAAGTAGTCTCAGGTAATTGTCCACACTTGGGGTGAGTGGTTTTCCAACAGGGTGGGGAAATTTCTTTTGCCTGAAGGATAATTGTTATTATCAGTATCTTAATGGGCCTCAGAAACTCCACATGATGAGGCAAGGCCTTTTTCTTTTTTTAATTTAATTTTATTGTTTAAAGTATTACAGATAGTAGTACATATGTCTCCTTTTTTTTTTTCTCCCATTGACCTTCCCCAGCCTCCTTTGCCTCCCGGCACATGCCCTCACCCGACCCCCCAGTGTCTTGTGTCCATTGGTTATGCTTATATGCATGCATATAAGTCCTTCGGTTGATCTCTTACCTCCCCCACTAACACTCCCCAGCCTTCCCACAGGCCTTTTTCAATAGGGTGGTTCAACTGTCTTCCTTCCAGGCAAAAACTGCCTGGATAGCAAAATTCTGCCTAAGAAAGATGATTTCTGGAGCATGAGGGAATATCTCAGCACAGGAAGCCAGGGTGTCTGACTTCTGAGCTCTAACCTCTGAGCTCCCAACCCTGGATTATTCTTACACAGCTCCAGTCCACTCTGCCCTTCCTCTGCTTGAGCCCAATGTGAGTGGCTGCACATGAAATTTTGTGTGTTGGCACTTTAAGAGGATGCCTGCATTTCCAGACATCTTCCCCTGACAGCAACACTGATGATTTTTATAGTCATGTGTTTTGTGGGCACCTTTCTCCGTTCTGGGGGGCCCAGCTTTGTGTTTAGACCCCAGAGTTCTCAGTGATAGCCCCCACAGCTGAGGTATCTATCTAGAACTTCAGTGGCTGTGGGAGCTAATTTATAATGGGGACTTTTTCAAACCCATTTGGGTTAGAGAGAACCTTCCGCACAGACAAAAGTATAACTATCCACATGTATACCTTTGGATCATAACTTCTTGGCTCATTTCTGAGAGATTCACTCCTAGCCTTTCTTATTAAAGGAGATTTTACCTAAAATAGTAGGTAGAGAGATTTTTGTGGTAATATTGTTCTGAGAGTACATACCTATAGTCACAACACAACATTACTAGGTAGGTCTTTAAGTCTCTTTTAAATGGAACTTCTGAGATGAGTAGAATCGTTTGGAATGGTATGAATATGGTTAACTGTTGTCAAATATATAAATGTAGCACCTGAGGTAGGAGGGCTCAGGAAAATCACCAACTTATAATTCATTTACTCTATTTAATCACAAAATTTTATTATCTTGTTGTCAGAATCAAAAGACACAGTCTTAGACCCCTCCTGAGCAGAGTGCATAGTACTATATTTTATTCAGAGTGCCATATCTAGGAAGACAAAGCCAGAGACTGCTTCTATGTAGTATAAAAGGAATGCCACCAGATAATTTTCATAGTTTTTAAAATAACATTCCAAGAAACTAATCCCAGCTTCTGATCTTTCGATTACCTTTTTCTTGATATCTCACTTTATCAGTGTAGAACCTAATTGGTTGTAAAAAGTTGATCCTGGTGAAATGATGAGTAAACAATATGAGAAACTACAAGAGCACAGGCTTAGAGTAAGCAGAAAATTCTCAGTTTTTCTTCTGACTTTGTTATGTACTAACTGTGACAGTGTGGTGGTGGTTGTGGTGTGTGTGTGTGTGTTGGAGGTGTGTGTGCATGTGTGTGTATGTACTAGTATATTCATACATGCATGCAATAACTGTTCAGCCTCTCCAAGACTTAGTTTCTTCATCTTTAAAATAGGAACATTAATACATTTTTTAAGACAGGGATGCTGCTGAATGGAAAGTAACATCTAGAAAATACTCTGTAAATGCAGCTGCTATTTGCATAATCATTGAGGGTGGTGGCAGCTGATAGTATCAGTCAGGACGTACTTGATTTTGGTGGCTTCTCTGATGCACAGGCTTAAAAAAATTTATCAGCTGTGTTTGACAGCTTTGATGGTCACTGCTAGTTCTTCTGCGAGATTTATCATTTGCTAATGACAAATACACAGTCAGATATTCTTTTGAAAAAAAAATACACTTTATTTATTCCTATAAATCTCTCCTCTTATTGGCTCAACTATAAGTCCTAATCACTATCACTGCTGCACTTTTACAATAAGAAATTCATTATTATAGGTATACTTATAAATTATTAAAATTTTACTGAAAGACTGAAATACATAAAGCTTATATTTTACCGCAGCATATTTTGTGCTCACTGAGGGTAAATAATAAAGTAAAAACATTCTCTTCTACTCTAATTGTCAAAACTTATATTTACTTATGAATCTCTATCCTATCTAATAATAGACAAACATGGTAATTGACCATACCTTCGCTACGCCTACCATGGGCTAATCAGTGCAATATGCAAATTAACCGCCAACAAAGATGGTGGCTAATTTGCATACTGCAGGCAGGGCAGGACAGCGCGAGCCACCAGTGTGCCACCATCCAGAGCAGGCCCACCCCAGAAGCCCCAGCAGCCGCCTGATATGGTAGTAACTCTATCAGTAAGCACTCTGAAAGTCAGTGGCATAAATGCACCAATTAAAAGACAGATTATGAGGGTGAATCAAAAACAAAACTCACTTTAAATATAAAGACACATATAGATTAAAGGTAAATGAATTAAGCTGCAGCCTGTTTTGCTCAGTGGATAGAGCATTAGCCCATGGACTGAAGGGTCCCAGGTTCGATTCCAGTCAAGGGCATGTACCTCAGTTGCTGGCTTGATCCCCAGTCCCTATCAAAGCATGTGCAGGAGGCAACCAATCAATGTGTCTCTCCCTTTCCCTTCACTCTCTCTAAAATTCAATGGAAAAATATCCCTGGGTGAAGATTAACAAAAACAAAGTAAATGGATTAAGTAACATTAAAGAGATTATAAGAAAAATATATTCCAAATTTTGTTAGTTGTATAATGGTTATGTTTAAATTATTAACACCTAAGAAATTGGGTGTAGGGTACATATAATATGCTGTAGTATTTTATAGGTTTTTTACATGTATGAGATTATTTCAAATTAAAATATTAAAAAATTAATAAAATATTAATTAAAATGTGTATGCATTACATGAAAAATCTCCTAATTGCTTCTAGCATAATTTATTAAATTGTGCTAAAATTTAAAAGGGTTCAATTAAAAAATATCTTAATTCTAAATGATATAATAGAAAATATATAATAGTGCAGTTATAAGCACTTTTCTGAAAATAAAAATCTAAAGAAGTGAATTTAAAGAAGGGATTAGCCAAAGAAAATATATGCACAACCCATGGACACAGACAACAGTATGGTGATGGCCAGAGAGAAGTGGGGGGCAAGAGCTGGGTAGAGGGGACAAAAGGGGGGAATTAGGGACATCCTATATAATAATAATGAAAGGCTAATATGCACATTGACTGAACGGCAGAATGACCGGCTGCTATGATGAGCACTGGCCACCAGGGGGCAGATGCTCAATGCAGGAGCTGCCCCCTGGTGGTCAGTGTGCTTACATATGGGGAGTGCCACTCAGCCAGAAGCTGGCTCATGGCTGGCCAGCACAGTGGTGGTGCCAGGAGCCTCTCCCACCTCCGTGGCAGCACTAAGAATGTCCAACTAACAGTTTAGACCCGATCCCTTGGGGGCCTAAGCCTTTAGTCGGACATCCCCCGAGGGCTCCTGGATGCCAGAAGGATGTCTGACTGCAAGCTTAGGCCTGATCCCCCAGGGAGTGGGCCTAAGTTGACAGGTGGACATCCCCCAAGGGGTCCTGGACTGTGAATAGGCGCAGGCCGGGTTGAGGGATGCCCCCTCCCCCCCCCCGAGTGCACAAATTTTTGTGCACTGAGCCTCTAGTTTAATGAGAAAATCTGTGATCACCTTAAGGGCTGTAAATTTTTTTTATTAATCATTATTGAGTGGAATGGAATAACTTTTAACAAACATGAAATTGAGTCAAGCTTATTTACAGAATGTCATTATTTTCATACCATATTTATTAAATGTGCACCATGAGTCAGTCATTAAATACAGAAAAAAAACATAATTTCCAATCTTTTATTAAATATGTACTGAGGCATTATGAAGGTGCTAGAGGTATTATAGTAAATACATCATGAATTCTGTCCCAAGGCACTCACAGTTGAAAGAGGCACCCAGGCCTATATATGTGGAACAATTAGAAGGCCAAGCAAGGTATTGTGTAGTCAAGTGCTATATAGTTTGGCAAAGACTGTAAGTCACAAGGCCTATGACTGACAGAAAAGGTCTGGTGGGGGAGGCTGGACTTCATATGAGCCTTGAAGAATGGGGAAGATTTGTATGAATGGAGAGGGACAAATAGGGCATTTTCCATCAGGAGAACATGAGCAAAAGCCTTAGAGGTGGAAGAAGCATGATCATGAGCATGGTGAGTTGACAGGATAGTAAGGAACCTAGACTGGCTGAAAGAATGCTGGTGAGCAGTGGAAGATATAGTTGGAAGGGTAGGATGAAACTCAATGACAAAAACTCCAGAGTCAGATAAAGAGGGTTTAACCTAGTGATCCCCTAAAGCTCTTTGAGGAAGAAGGTGCCATGATAGGTGATGATATGGCTATGGTGTATTTCATGTGGTTCCTTATGTCATCATTATTCTTTTATAAGCTTTTCCATGACTTTGTCTTTGGTTGCTACTCTGTTTCCATGTTAATTCAGAATGTTTGTTCTCATTTAGAAGAAGCACTGGTTCATCAGATCTTAATGACAAGGAAGTTGGTCCTGGGACCCTGAGGAGCAGCCAGAGCAGTGGTATGATGCCAGTCACTCACAGGTCACCAGCCCCAAGCCCATGCAGCATGATCCCAGTCATCAGTAGAGTAAGTACACAAATGTGAAGGGACATCAGTTTTCTGGGAGTTGACCTCACCACCATGACATTACTGGTTCTCAACTCTCTGTATCTCAGTGCATGTTGTTTACAATGATTAATGGTAGAAGCTTCTTTATCAGAACTGAACCTCTTGCATCCTTAGCTCCCAACAGAAAGCCTGCAGTAGAAGGAAAGAGAAGGAACAGGTTTAGAGGTGGAATTTGTGTGATGAGGGTTTAAATGGCTGTATGGTTTAAACAACATATAAATAATTTTAGAAATTTTTGATTTTGATACTCCGTGCTACTTCTCAAGATGTTGAATGCACTAAAATTTTTGCAAACTGATTTAAATCAGGAAAAGTAGAGTCTTGAAATTATTTTCTAGTTTTCTTTTCTATACATCTGTTAAAATAAGGGGTCAATGCATAATAAATGTTTAAATTGCATAATATATGTGTGTATAATATATGTGTGTATATGGAAGCTGCTCTTTTGAATGAATGAACAACACTAGATTTTTTGGATTAAGCAGAAAACCATATATATACAAACCTTATATAAAAACTATAGCTTTTTTTTAGACAGCCAATATTTAATGAGGGCCTGCTATATGCCAGTCCTGGTCACGTAAATACTTGAAGGATCTGAATGAATTAGCCATGTAGGAGTCTGAGGTAAATAATTCCTCCAGGAAAGAACACCACTTATATTCAGCAGGTACATTACTGGATGGCTGTTCCAATTACTTACGGGCGACCTCCTTGAAAAATCAGTGGCTTTGCTCAACCAATATCTAAAATATGTTTAATGCCCCTGAAGGAACAACCGGTGCATAGATTCTGAGGTGTATGCATGAGTGATATGCACAAGGAAGAGTAAGACAGTCTGTGTGGCTATTGCTGATGAATGAAGGGAGGAGGACAGATGGAACCTTGCAGATCACAGTATGCACTTTGGCATTTACTCTGGATAAGATAGGGATAATTAGATGGTTTGAGCAGAGGAGTGACATGATATGGCTTCTTTTTATGCAGGATCTGGGAGCTGTGTTAAGAAGCAGCTGTAGGGGAATAAGAGTAGAAGCCAAAATGCCATGGCAGAGACTGGGCTTCAGGAAAGAAAGATAAAAGTGGAGGTTGTGAATAATCAGATTCTACAGATTTTTTAAAAGGAATAGCCAAAAGGCATTCAGACAGATTTAATAATAATAGATATATTTAAACACTTCTAGTCTAAATTGTACTTGCTGATAATAGAGATGCCATATTTGAAATTTCTTAAATACTTATATTAAGATCAGCAAGCAGTACTATTCAATAGCCAGAAAAATACATGGCTATTTGATAATTATATTCATTTCTTTGGTCACCTAACAAGGAATGATCCTCAAAGTATTTAGGAACTGGTATTGCGGGGAAACTGAACAATCAGAGCAAATACTGGCACAAGTTTAGGGAAATATCTTGGGAACCCTTATATGCCACACATTACCTGCATTATGGGAAAAACTAGGGTTATAGAGGAGGGAAAGCACAGGGAAGGGAATAGACTGGGAAGGGTGCTATTTATAACTGATACAGAAGTCTTAAAAAATTTAATAGCTGGGCAGCTGTATCCTTGGGTAGCAGAAGACTATCAGTTTAATGATCAGTAAGCTAGTCAAGTTTGTTCTCAAAACAAGGATTATCTTCTTAAGTACCATTTTTGAGGGGAAAATGTCACCCTTGTCATGTGCTAATACCCTAAAAATTGACAGCCTCTATACGAATTTTTTTTATTAAACAACATTTAGATTTCCCCAACATAAATTCCCTAGAACTGAGTTGAGTATATGTACATATATTTAAGCAATAGCTTGTGTTGCTCTAACTTTTGCATTCTAGCTGATCTAGCTAGTCTTTTATATGAGACACAAAAAGAAATATTTTCTGTTGAATAAACGTAAGACAGAATAGTACTTTAAGAAGCACACTTCTCTTTCATGATGAACGGAAGAAGTATACAGAATGAGATGATAATCAATATAACTTCTCCCAAATTAGTCCCATTTCTCAGCATCTCTTTGTTTTAATATTCTTTTCTTCTTTAGCATGTGAGAAGTAAGTTTTTAAAATGAAAAACTCTTAGAACATCAAAGTCTCTAACCTGACCTCTGCTATAATGTAACTTGTCAACTTTAGGTTTCACAGTCTGAATCTCCAGGGTATGTATTGCATGTTAATGACTGTACAATATTAATTGGAAAATTAGTGTTCAATAGTAATTATCTTCCCAGAGTGCCAATTGGAAAATTTCCTGTCAACATAGTTGTTTCTAAGGAAGTTGGTCTTACTTTGTTGGGGGACTCAATGTATGAACAATATTTTGAGGAGTTGGTGAAAACTGACCTAAACTAATTTATCTGTTTGACCGCTGTGACAGTCTTATGATAAATCTAGGTGGTATACAGCAAGTAATTAGGAGCTATATCCTTCCTACTATAGGGAGTATGTATTAGAAAATAATCAAAGACCAAAAACAGTCTATATTGAAGCTGCAGTGATTAGCATGCTAAGCAAATGAGAGCCACATCTCTCTGGAGTGAGTTCATCAAAATGTCCCTCAGTGTCTAAGGTATGGGCAACAAGGAGGAAATTCCTTCCTGTAGAATTTTTAAAAGCATTTTTTATTGTTATTGAAAAATGAATTTAAAAATTTCTTTTATATTTGATCATTATCACATTGTGGTATCATTTCCATGGACATTTAAACTTGACTCAGTTACTAAAAAGTTCAAAATTATGTTTTTAATGCTCAAGCAATGTTGGAGTGATATAACAGCCAAGCCCTTATGGGCCCAGGGACATTTTGGACAGAGTTTTATTTTATTATATGTTACAAATGAAAGCAAGTCTCAGACTGAATTCTGCAATTTACACAAGCATTTATTAGCAAGACAGTACCCCAAAATCACCGATTCCTCTAAATTAGGGAAGTACCCATTCTTTATCCTTTTATGAACTTTGATAAGCCCCTTGCATGAAAGTTCCATTTCAATAACAATGTAACCAACCAGGTTCTGATCATCTAGCCTGCTAAATGGAAAAGGTGCCATGGTCTTCTGTTAAATGGATGTGGAGTAGGTAAGGGGTGGTTGAGGAGAAAGGATGTTGAAAGGGGAACAAGCATAGGGCCATAGTTTTAAGCCTACTCTGATGGTATGAAGATTGCCAGATTCTTATACATAATTTATGTAAGTTGGAAGTACCTGTATCATTTACTAACCATATAGTAGAATGCTCCCAGATCTTGTGAATGAAAAATTATTTCCAAAGCCTTCATTAGCATTAATTAGAGAGTAATTATTAATAAGTTTTAGAGTTATATGGCCTCCTTATGAGGGTCCTCCAAATATCAACTATCTTCTAAAGAATACATACTTAAATGTGGCTTTACTGAAGTGTATTTGTGTGGAAGGATTTTAAAGTAAATTATTGTCAGTATAATGTTTTTTTCTGTTAATGTTTACTTTGTGAGAAGGAACATGGTTTTGAAAATTCTTTGGATTTGGCTGCCATTGAAGGCACCTCAGAGGACTTCACAAAGAATCATTGCACAAACACTTCTGGCACACCTTCCATAGCAGTGTCCAGGGCCTCCCTCTCCTCAGGTGGGTATTTACAATATCACTGCTCTGCTGTACAAAATGACTAAATCAGGTGTAGCTTACTCTTTTCATGCCTTAGAAAAAACTTGTCTATTCTTTTGGACCCATGGTGGTAGGCCCACTCCATAAGAACTACTTATAGGTGGTCCCAGGTGATGTTTTGAGCCTCTTACATTTATGCAAAATCTATTTCCTAAGTGTACACTTGGCAGGCATCACTGCCAAGTTTCAGAGCTATCCTATATAATAAAAGGCTACTAGAAATATGCAAATTGGCCGAATGGCAGAGAACTGGTTGCTATGACACCCACTGACCACCTGGGGACAGACATTCAACACAGGAGTTGCCCCCAGGTGGTCAGTGTGTTCCCTCAGGGAGAGTGTCACTCAGCAAGAAGTTGAGCTCATGGCTGATGGGCACAGCAGTGGTGGTGGAAGCCTCTCCTGCCTCCATGGCAGCACTAAGGATGTCCAACTGCCGGCTTAAGCCCTGCGGGGAATGGGCCTAAGCCATCAATGGGACATCCTCCAAGGCAGCAGTTCTCAACCTGTGGGTCGCGACCCCTTTGGGAGTCGAACGACCCTTTCACAGGGGTCACCTAAGACCATCGGAAAACACATATATAATTACATATTGTTTTTGTGATTAATCACTATGCTTTAATTATGTTCAATTTGTAACAATGAAATTAGGGGTCACCACAACATGAGGAACTGTATTAAAGGGTCGCAACATTAGAAAGGTTGAGAACCACTGCTCCAAGGGCTCCTGGACTGCGAGAAGGCACAGGCCTCGCTGAGGGAGCCCCCTTCCCCCCCCCTCCCCCCCCCCCGTGAATGCACAAATTTCATGTACTGGGCCTCTAGTACCAAATATAATTGGCTGATTTGATATGAAAGGCAGGGACACTTGCCCAGAGCTCAAGGATATTAACTTTAAAAAAATCTTTATTGTTGAAATTATTACACATGTCCCCCTTTTCCCCTATTGACCCTTTCTAGCTTGTACCCACCTTCTGTCCCCATGGAATGGACTATCCAATCTCAGAGGGAAGGCAGGGGTGCATGGGTGGGAAGAATTTAACCCATGGGCATAGACAATAGTGTGATTAAATCAACTTTTTAAAAATTAACAGATTTATTAAAATATAATTTACATACCATAAAATTTATCTGAGTTTTGTCAATTTGCATTAATTTTGATTGCCAGTAGGTATGGATTAATTCTACTATCTTACTTTATATATTCCATCCACCTCGCTTTTGTTCTAGGTTTTATTCTTTCTCTACTGCTTTCTTCTAGATCAGTGGTTCTCAACATTCCTAATGCTGCGACCCTTTAATACAGTTCCTCATGTTGTGGTGACCCCCAATTTCATTGTTACAAATTGAACATAATTAAAGCATAGTGATTAACCACAAAAACAATATGTAATTATATATGTGTTTTCCAATGGTCTTAGGTGACCCCTGTGAAAGGGTCGTTCGACCCCCAAAGGGGTTGCGACCCACAGGTTAAGTATTTACAATATGACTGCTCTGTTGTACAAAATGACTAAATCAGGTGTAGCTTACTCTCTTGTGGGCATTAAATGCTGTTCTATATTGATGTCTCCCCACCCTTTCCATTTTTTCCCTTCCTTCTAGTTTAGTATATACACCATCTCTCTTTTAATGATTATCTGAGCGTTTTTAATATGCATGTTTAACTTAAATTCTAATTTCTAACATAAATGTTAATTCTTCTTGATTTGGTGGTCAGCAATGCCCTATATCTAGAAAAAATTAACCATTTTGTGGTTTAAATAAAGAATTATTTGCAAGCAGTATTAAGGTATTAATAATAACCCGTTTCATTTATATGGTACATTCAAATATATAATTTCACTTCATTATCACAATAACCCAGTGTAGCAGATATTATGTTGTAATTTTATTACCTATGAATAAAGAAACTCTTCAGAGAAATTGGTCATAATTATGAAGTTTAGGTCCCATATGTAGAATTAAAATCATGACAAAATTCTCAACATGAAAATGTTACTTGTTACTTAATGATGATATTTGCATAAAGCCTAAATCTGGATTCTGTATGCTGAGTCAGAGTCTCTCCTAGACAGGTAGCTCCCAAAAGGTTTTCTAAATGAGTGTGGTTATTGTTGCATTTTGCTTAGGATTAGAAAATCAGTTCACCTATTAAATGAAACCTTTTAAACTAGGCTAGAAGTGAACTTCCTAGACCAGTGGTTGGCAAACTCATTAGTCAACAGAGCCAAATATCAACAGTACAAGGATTGAAATTTCCTTTGAGAGCCAAATTTTTTAAACTTAAACTATATAGGTAGGTACATTCAACTTTAAATTCACGGTTTTCGTCTTCCGTTTTTCTTTGCTTCTTCTTTGTAGCCATCTCAAACAGGGCACCTAAAAAAATGTTTCATTTTATAGTAATAAAGCCACCAACACAAAAGAATTACAATTCTTAAATTGATGACAAAAATACCTGTAGGATTTGCAGCTGGATGGAAAAATACAGGTAACTTTATGCTTCGAGTAGGTACTTTTGTCACCCATGCACGATTTGCAGACGCGACTAGCACTAACCACTGCACAATGAGACTGCTGACTGACTGGCTCACTCAACTCGTGCATGAATCGCACGTGCCTCCCTCGCGCTGTGTATCCTTTGGCCCGCCTGCACCGCATCTCCTGTCGCCCGACCAACCGACACCCCCCCCCCCCCACTTCTTCTAACGCCACTTCTTCAAAATACACTCGCCCAGGCAGAAAAACGACTTCTGCGCATGGGCCACGAAGTTTCAATAGCACTGTACATGCGCGCCCGCATGTGGTATTTTGTGGAAGAGCCACACTCAAGGGGCCAAAGAGCCACATGTGGCTCACAAGCCGCGGTTTGCCGACCACTGTCCTATAGACTGTATTTCTACTTCTGAACACTTCCTGTTTATTGAGTATATACTCTGTGTCAGGTGCTATACTAAATACTTCTACTTTATATCACTTACCATTTCAAACTTATTTACTTGATTGCTCTCTTAAATCTTTCTTATTTATAAGCAATGATATCTACATCAGCGGGGCTTTGACATAGAACTATTCTGTGGAAATAAACTGTGTCTTGATAAGTTTTCCACAACATTACTGACTACCGTATAGTTCTTTAACTTATATTTTCAAAAGAAACATATTCTTCTGATTATAAAATGTTCTGGTACCTAAAGAAAATAGAATTTTCTCCCATTTACCTGTAGCCACTCCCTTTTATTTGATTTATAAATTTTAAAATCAAGAATGGTTAATGTTTTATTTTTTCTAAGCTTAAGGGTCCATTCTGAGAGAGTTTTTCAAAATCTATGAGCGAAACAGAAGACTTAAACACCTTAAAATTAGCATTTTGTAATAGAGCATTTAGTTTCCTATGATCAAAGGAGAAATGAATACATCAGTGTTGGTAATTCAGTTCAAGGGAATTTCAAAATGTTATTAAAATGAAAGTATGTTAGCATAAACAGCAGAAAGTTACTGAGTCTGACACTTGCTTTCATAACACTATGTCCCATGCTTACAAAGAATTGGAATAAAGATGAAAGATTTACAATGAAAAGTGAAAACTTGTAGAAAATAAGGTGATTCATATTTTTCCTTTTCTCTTCCTTCCCCCAGACCAGAGTCAATCTGAGTTAGATTTGAGTGGGTCATTTAAAGAAGACTTAAAAGATACTGTAAATTTAAGAAGCAAGTATGTCCCTGGGGCTTTAGACAAAGATTTGGTAAGTTGGATACAGAAAAGAGTCCAATGATCATGGGGAAAAGGCATGATATTGTTCAAAACTTGTCCACTTTTACATGAGGATGAGTTGAGGGTAAAGTGAGGATATACAATAATCTCTTTCTATTAGTCTTCACAACCAGCATACAAAAATAACTAAGGAATGATTTAGTAAAGGTAAGAGGTAATCAGAGGTAATCAGATTAATCTGGAAAGATTATCTTTAAGAAACACCTGTTGGGAATTTCAATTCCTACCTAAAAGCACATTACTGAATCTAAACCTGGGAAATGGGAAATATCAACATTTTCTAAATGAAATAATACTAGATTTAATCTGACTATGTATTTTATATGAACATTTCTACATCTCAAGTTACTCTCAATAAACTGCTTTCTTGATTAAGACTAAATTATTGGAAAATTAATTTATAAAATGAGAAAGTTGAATTAGATTATTGGTAATGTTACTTCCATTTCTAATGTTGTGATATTCTGAGTTCTATAATTGCTATAATGCAATTTGAACTCCATGGAAGAAAGATATAACACAAGTATTAAATGACAATAATATAATTTTTCCAAAGCAAGGCAAGAAACTTACAGTTCTAAAACTCAATGTTATTTACTATCTATACTAATTAAAGGGTAATATGCTAATTAGACCGGGAGACCTTCCTGGAGACTGGCCAGGGAGGGCAGTTGGGGGCCATTAGGCCAGCTGGGGAGGGCAGTTGGGGGCCATGAGACCGGCAGGGGAGCACAGTTAGGGGTCATGAGGCCGGCCAGGTAGGGAAGTTTGGGGCCATGAGGCCAGCCGGGGAGGGCTGTTGCGGGCCATGAGGCTGGCCAGGGAGGGCTATTGAGGGCCATGAGGCCAGCAAGGTAGGGCAGTTGGGGGCAAGAAAGTCAGCAGGGGGGACAGTTGGGGGTGAGCAGGCCAGCAGGCAGAGTCATTAGGGGGGATCAGTCAGGCAAGCAGGCGAGTGATTGGGACCCAGCGGTCTCGGATTGTGAGAGGGATTGGGCATAAACTGGTAATCAGACATCCCTCAAGGGGCTCCAGATTGGAGAGGGTGCAGGCCGGGCTGAGGGACACACCCCCTCGTGCACGAATATTGTGCACTGGGCCACTAGTTGTATAAATAATAACTATCTTAAAATCCACCACCAAAAAAAAAAAGGAAGCAAATAATGAGATCAAATGGTTTCAAAGTTTACTTGTTCTCAACCTTTACAGAATAGTTAATTCTAATATTATAAAAATGTTTTTGATCTTAAAAACTCTAAAAAATCTTCAAATTCATAGTTTTAAACTATTATAAACTTCACTCTCAAACTTGATTTTAAAATAATTTAAAAATTATAAGTAAAACCTAGCAGTGAATGAAAAATATAGCAATAAGGATAACTAAGTTTTATTCTAAGAATGAATGGAAGAATTAATCTATGTAAAAATATGTATTACATAGCTAATATTTCAATATATTAAAGGAGAAAATACAAAACTATTTTTGCTAGATGCTGAAAACTATTGACAAAATTTAACAGTCATACCTAATAAAAATACAAATTTAATAAAACTAATATAAACCATTGAAATATGATTTTAGCTCTGGCTGGTGGCTCAGTTGGTTGGAGTGTCACCTAGAGCACCCATCTTGACAGTATACACACACACACACACACACACACACACACACACACACACACAAATGCATACATGCACAGATCAAACACTTTTTAATTAAAAAATAATTTAATTGCCCAAAGTAAATCACCTTAGATATCACCTAAGGTCTGTGTGATTCTAAATTTCATTCTCTTTCCATAAAGCTTCCACTAGGAAGGAGGCCCTACTCCTCTGATAATATAATTCAGGTTGAATGGATAGCAAAAGAGGAAAACCTAGAATAGGGCGATTTCTAGATATTTGTATATGATTTTTCAGGTATTTTAAAAAGAAAGTGATTTGGGGAGTGAAATGACTTTCTAGGAAAACAGTAAACCAAACCACTGATATTTTCCCCCTTCCTTAGGACTCCTCGGAAGAAACTGAAGAAAGTATTGATGATGTAGTGTCCTCCAGGTTTTCTGCAAACACCTACAGCCTACCAAGTGGCCTGTCAAGAGTAAGCAGTTCTCTAATGCACTGGAAGCTTATTCTTTCTCTTGTTGATTTTCTGTTCACTTCCAAAGGGCATATGAATGTTTTTGGGACAATGTCTGTTAGTGAGTTAAGTCATTATAGTGTTCCACTTGTCCTTTGCCCACAGAATACTTTTTGGTCTAATTTTGTGTAGACTTTTCCTAAGGCTTCTCATTGCTTTCCTCTTCTTCCTTGGTCCTCACATAGGCTTTAAGACCTCTTCAGTCCTTAGTTCAGCTCAAGCCTATAAATTATCTCAATTCTCTGCTGATACATTTCCCTTCCACCATTCTCTCAACTCCCTAATTGTTCTCCACACTGCTGGCAGACATTCTCCTAAAACACATATCAAGTCAGGTTTCTCTCCTATTCAAACAGTGTCCATAGTTTCCCACTGCCAACAGAATGAAGACCCTTCTTACTTTAGTGTTCAGGCTTTCTTTAAGAGGTAGCCTTTAGGAACCCCTGCTACCTTTTACCCATCTATATGTATGTAACTTTTTTCTTTGCTTCTCTAATTTCTATCTGTTATTTTAATACCTTTTTTTTCCCTTTTGACCTTCGTGTGACATCCTTAAAGAATTCTCAAGCCGGCCCTGACAAGAAATGGACCTACCTAAATGTGCCTGATGTTGACTCAGACACTGTGAGTTTTCAATCTTTGCTTTTCCTTCTTTCCAACCGTACTTCACAAATTTTATGGTACAGGAAATCTGGTTAGGTGGGCAATTTTCCAGCATATAGCTTTTTCTGATTTGTATTCAATTTACCAGAGGTTCTCTTTTAAAAGGTAAATAAAATGATCAGCCCTAACCGGTTTGGCCCAGTGGATAGAGCATTAGCCTGTGGACTCAAGGGTCCCAGGTTCGATTCCGGTCAAGGGCATGTACCTTGGTTGCGGGCACATCCCCAGTAGGGAGTGTGCAGGAGGCAGCTGATGGATGTTTCTCTCTCATCGATGTTGCTAACTCTCTATCCCTCTCCCTTCCTCTCTGTAAAAAATAAATAAAATAAAATAAAAAATAAATAAGTAAAAAATTTAAAAATAAATAAATAAATAAATAAATAAAAGGTAAATAAAATTATCAAAATCCAAGTATTCCCCCCCAAAAAAAACACTCATTAAACATTAGAATATGAGGACTAGTCAAAAGATACATGGTCCAAAATTATTTACCATTGATGAGATACCTTTAGAATAAATACCTCTATTTTATTTTTTTAAAATTCTTACCCAATGATATTGTTTCATTGCTTTTAGATAGAGTAGAAAGGAGGAAGGGACGGACAGAGGGAGCAAGAGCAAGAGAAAGCTCTATTTTAAATCACAGCATTGGCTTGGTTAAGAGCATAAAGTTTGGTTAGTAGTAAAATTTCCTTAACTGCCTAAATTTCCCCCAAGCTTAAGCATTTGTGAGTTCTTAAATTTTCTTCCATCTATAGGGCCCCTTGCTTACAGAGGAACTTCTTTGAATAGTGGCTACAGAACAATGTGGTGAGCCATGAATTAGTGATAACAAGGAAATAGTGTGAGGTATGTTAGGGAAGTCCTCAGACTAAAAATCTGCAGAACGTGTTGTATGTCTTGGCGCTGCCAACAATTTCTGTGAGCCACAATTTTCTCATATATAACATGAGGAGTTTGGGGCTTATTCTTGAAGGCCTTGAAACTCAAATGATAGTTCATGGACCAGCAACATTGCATTACCTAAAACAGATATTCTAAAACTTTGTCAGTTCAGGGAGCCTGCAGTATCTCAGTGATACTTTCATGGCACTCACTCCTGGACCAAAAGTAATACCTGAATAGCCAATTTATTAATTATTTGGGTAAAAAATAAATAAAACAATAAGCACTGGTATCCTAACAATTTAGCCAATTGAAAAAATAATATACATAAACTGAGAGAAAAATAATATTTTATTCCATTATTAAATAGCCCTTAATATTTACTAATGGGATATGTGTGTCTGTTGGCACTACATGAATTGTTAAATTTGGAATCTGATTGGACGGCACCACTTTAATTTCATTTTTGTTTTTTTCAATTCTCACCAGAGGATATTTTTCCATTGGTTTTTAAAGAGAGTAGAAGAGAGAGGGAAAGACAGAGAGAAATATTGATGTGAGAGAAACACATTGATTGGTTGCCTCCTGCATGACCCCTGACAATGGCCCCGGCAGGGAGAAGCCTGCAACCGGGGTATGTGCCCTTGATTGGAATTGAACCCTGAACACTTTGATCCACAGGCCAATGCTCTATCCACTGAGCCAAACCAGCTAGGGCTAATTTCTTGTTCTACATTGATTTTTATGCAATATTTGTGTTTTGTGACAGCAACTGCCAAAAACTCAATTTCACACAGATAGGACTTTATAAAGAATAAAATGTAATTTAATGTTGATACTGCAAACTACTGTTTGTAGTTTATATGGTGTCTGATAGATGACACTATGTTTCCCTTGTAAATTTAAAATACCTGTGTGCCCCTGTGAGTTTACTGAGGTGCTGTGGAATTCCTTGACAAACAGTTTGGAAATTGTGGACCTAGTAGAAAAGCAAAATCTCAGACCCAACCTAAGATAGAATAGATCTGAATACTTGTTTTAATAGATCCTCAGGTGATTCATATGCAATTATAGTTTGAAAAGCACTGATAAAAGCCACCTACTATCATGACAATTCTGTTTCCTTATTTTATGAATAGGAAAGACAAATTAGGTCGCTCACTGGCTCTCTTTAAGTTATAATTTCCAAGTATAGTCCTCCCTCGGTATCCACCTGATGTGTAAACTGTGGATATGGCAGGCTGCCTCAAATTCTGGCATCCTTGGTTTTCTCTTGCCCTTGAATTAAGCCTAGAAGAGATACTATCCATATGACCCACATCCTGTTCTTTGAATCGTCTTTACTCTTCATGATTGAAGGAATGTGATGACTTTATATATGTACAGGGTGTAGCTAAAGAAAGTTTACAGTTGTTGTATGGATATTAATACAATAATGAATAAATAATAATACAGGAATAAACTGTTTCCCATACTCATGACTGTAAACCCACTTTTCCCTCACCCTGTGTGTGTGTATGTATATATATGAAAAAGTCAAAAGTGGAACCTCTCTGCATTTACCATGGTCCTTACCTCCCAGTGGTTCACAAACAAGATTTTTGAGACTGTTAAGTCACTCATGAAAGCCTTTCAGGTGGTATTTTGTGCTAGTCATGTTGCTAAGATAGAGTTTTTGCTTATGGCACTAAAGGATAATTTTGTTAGTTGATTGAAAATATATCTCTCGTAATTAGTGACTCATCAGGAACTTCATTCATTCTGGGAGATTTGGACTTTTTAAAACAATTTATGTATTGGTTGGTGTGTTACTGTAGTGTTCTATTTTGTGGGTTGATATTTTACTGAGGTTTAGGAAGCCAGGGTCCTACATTACTTAGGTGGCCACACAGCTGCTGAGGGGTGCCTTGTTAATACTGCAGTTATGACTTTCCAGAGGCTAATGAGATGCTCTCTGGGGGTGTACCAGGGAGAATTTTGTAGCTCTTACTAGCAAATAGATGAGCTTTTGTTTTTCCTGGTTAACACATTCTAGATCTTGAAGTATATTGACCTTGAGCCTCCCAATGAGAAAGGAGAAAGCTACAGGGATTTGGAGAGGAGATGGGATTGGAAATGCCTCAATGACTCCATATTCATTAGAAAAGTGAATAAACAAAGGCTATTCACTAATGCAAAAGAGCAATGCTTCTCCTCTCAGCAAGTTGCCTGCCTTCATTACTAATGGTCCTAGATCTTATTATCCTTTCTCAGGCTTGGATTTTATGCAATGAGAAAATTAAGCAAATAAGTGATTTTTGCTTTCTTCCATTTCCTTAGATTTCCCTACTGATTATAAAGAACAGGAATTATAATTGAATGAAAGGGGTGGTTTTTGTGAAGAGATCATTAGTATAATACTAGAGGCCCAGTGCATGAATTCATGCATGGATGGGGTCTGGCTGGCTGGCCCAGCCCCAATTGGGGCGGATCGGGACCGGGTCTGCCGGGATGAAGAGGCAGCGGAGGTTAACCAGACAGCCCGCCCCAATTGGGGCACGATTAGGGCTGGGCTGGCTGGGGGGAAGGGCCATGAGTGATTGGCCAGTAGGACCTGCCTCCGATTGGGGTGGGGGGACTGATTGGGGGCAGGGTCAGCCATGGGGAGGGGCTGTGGGTTGTAAGCTAGCTGCCCCCCTTGAATGGGGTGACGGGGTTGATAGGTGGTAAGCAGCCAGAGGAGGGATCATGGGAGGTTGGCCAGCCAGCCCCACCCTGTTTGGTGTGGTGGGGGCCAATCAGGAATGGAGCTGGCTGGGGAGAGGGGCCGCAGGACCATTGGGGTGGTGGGGGCTGATCAGGGGTGGGGCCAGCTGTGGGAGGGGCTGTGGGTGTTTGGATGGCTGGCCCTGCCCCAGAATGGGTTGGGGGGCTGATTGGAGGTGGAGCTGGCTGGGGGGAGGTGCTGTGGGCTGATCGGGGTGGTGGGACCCATCAGGGGTGGGGCCAGCCAGGGGGAAGGGCCATGGGGGGGGGGTGTTGGCCGGTCACCCTGTCCTTGATCGGGGTGGGAGTGGCCAATCATGGGTGAGGCCAGCTGGGGAGAGGGGCCGCAGAAGGTTGGTCAGCCAGCCCCACCCCCTGATTGAGCCAGTTCGCTGGCCGAAGTAGGCATCATTGGGACTGGTTGTTCCTGTCATTATGGCATTATGGTCGCTGGCTTTTTATATATATAGATAGGACTCCTCTTTCTATCTTGTTTATTCTAGGCCAGCCTTAATAGCATGCTGAGTGTTTACAGTGAAACAGGAGACTATGGCAACGTGAAGGTCAGTGGTGAAATCCTTCTCCACATCAGCTACTGCTACAAAACTGGAGAGCTCCATATTTTTGTCAAGAATTGCAAAAATCTGGCCATAGGAGATGAAAAGAAACAGAGGACAGATGCGTAAGCACATAACATATTCTGCTGTTTATTTCAATTGCTGCATTTTTTTTGTCAGTATATGTGTTTCTTTTATAGAATACTAGAGACCTGGTGCATGAAATGCATGCATGGGAGAGGGTCCCTCAGTCCAGCATGCACCCTCTAGCAATCCGGGACACCTCAGGCGATGTCCGACTGTGGGTTTAGGTCCAATTCCATAGGGATCCCTGTGGGATCAGGCCTAAACTGGCAGTCAGACCTCCCTCTTGCAATCGGGCCCACTGGCTCTTAAACTCTTGCCTGCCTGCCTGATTACCCCTAACCACCTCTGCCTTGGCCCCCGTCATGGCGGCTTCATCCAGAAGGACATCGGAATGACATTGGAAGGTTGTTCAGCTGTCCGGTCTAATTAGCATTTTGTGTTTTTATTATTATAGATTCTTTTTTAAGCTTATTTATCTTTTTTCAATTAAATTTTTTGGGGTGACATTGGTCAACATGAATTTATAGGTTTAAGATGTGATTTTCTATGTTATAAGATCTGTATATTGCACCATGTGCCCATCACCCAAAGTCAAATCTTCTCCTGTCACCTTATATTAGGATCCTCTTCTCCCCCATACCATTCACCCTGGCAACCATCACACTGCTGTTTGTGTTCACGACTTTCAGTTTTATATCCCATATATGAGTGAAATCATGTAGTTCTTAACGTTTTCTGACTGACTTATTTTACTTAGCATAATGTTCTTAAGGTCCATCCATGTTGTTGCAAATTTACAAATGGCACTATTTCATCCTTTCTTATGGCTGAGTAGTATTCCATTGTGCATATGCACCACATATTCTTTATCTAGTCCTCTATTGCAAAACACTTTGGTTGTTTCCATCTCTTGGCCACTGTAAATAAAGCTGCAATGAACATAGGGGTACATATATCTTTTTGAACACATGATTTCCAGGTTGTAGAATATGTAATCAGAAGAGGGATTGCTGGCACATATAGTAACTATATTCTTAATTTTTTGAGGTATTGCCAGACTGCTTTCCATAGTGGTTGTCTGCATTCCCACCAGCAGTGAATGAGGATTCTCTTTTTTCCACTTCTCCAATACTTGTTATTGCTTGTCTTGTTGATAAAGGCTGCTCTAAAAGGTGTAAGGTAGTGTCTTATTGTAGTTATTATTTGCATTTCCCTAATTGCCAGTGAGGTTGAACATCTTTTCTTATAACTATTGGCTGTTCATATGTCTTCTTGGGATAGCTATATTTTTAGGTCTTCTGCCCACTTTTTTTTTTTTATTGCGTTGTTTGTTTGGTGTTGAGTTTTATGAGTTCTTTATATATTTTGGAAATTAAACCTTTTTTAGAGCTACTGTTTGCAAATATCATCTTCTACTTGGATGGCTGCTTCATTGTTTTGTTGTCACTTTCTGTTGCTCTGCAGAAGCTTTCTAGTTTGATATAGTCCCATTAATTTATTTTTGCTTTTACTTCCCTTGCCTTTGGGGTCAAGTTCATAAAATGTTGTCTATGACCAAGGTCCACAAGATTGGTACCTATATTGTATTCTATGTAACTTACTGTTTCAGGTCTTGTATTTAAGTCTTTGATCCATTTTAAATTAATTTTTGTACATGGAGATAAACTGCAATCCAGTTTCATTCATTTGCATGTGACTTTCCAATTTTACCAGCACCATTTATGAAGAGACTATGTTTACTCCATTGTATGTTTCTGGCTCCTTGTCAAAAATTACCTGTCCATATACATGTGATTTTATAACTGGGATTTCTATTCTGTTCCATTGATCTGTGTGTCTGTTTCTCTGCCAGTACCATGTTATTTTGATTATAACTCTGTAGTATAATTTGAAGTCAAGTTGCTTGATACTTCCAGCTTGGTTCTTTTTTCTCAGGATTGCTTTAGCCATCGGGTATCTTTTGTGGTTCCATACAAATCTGATGATTTCTTGGTCTCTTTATTTTTTTAAAATGACATTGGGATTTTGATGGGGATTGCATTAAATCTGTATACTGCTTTGCGTAATATGGCTATTTTAACTATGTTGATTATTCCAATCCCTGAACACAGAATATAAATATTTTTTTTCATTTTGATGTGTCTTTTTAAAATCTCTTTTAGTAAGGCTTTATAATTTTCAGTATCTAGGTCTTTTGCATTCTTTGTTAAGTTTATTCCTAGGCATTTTATTCTTTTGTTGCAATTGCAAAAGGAATTTTTTTTTCATTTCTTGTTCTGAGGTTTTGTTGTTAGTATACAGGAAGGCAATGGATTTTTGCACAATAATTTGTATTCTGCAACTTGACTGTATTTGTTTAGTTTTTTAAATAATTTTTATTGTTGAAAGTACTAAATATGTCTCCGTTTCCCCGATTGACTTCCTCCAACACGCCCCTGTCCCCCCACTCCCCACCCCATGCCTTCAGCACCCTATTGTCTGTGTCTATGGGTTATGCAAATGTGACTACAAGGTCTTTTGTTGATTACCTTTCAACCACCCACCCTCCCCGGCCTTCCCTCTGAGATTTCGCACTCTGTTCCATGCTTCCATGTCTCTGGATCTATGCTGTTCATCAGTTTATTTTGTTCATTAGATTCCACATATGAGTGCGATCATGTGATACTTGTCTTTCTCTGACTGACTTATTTCACTTAGCTGATACTCTCCAGGAACCTCCATGCTGTATCAAAGTGTAAGAGATTCTTCTTTTTTACTGCTGCATAGTATTCCATGGTATAAATGTACCACAGCTTTCTTATCCACCCATCTACTGATGGGCACTTGGGGTGTTTCCCAATCTTAGCTATTGTAAATTGTGCTGCCATGAACATAGGGGTGCATACATTCTTTCTGACTGGTGCTTCGGGTTTCTTAGGATATATTCCTAGAAGTGAGATCACTGGGTCAAATGGCAGTTCCATATTTAATTTTTTGAGGAAATGCCATACTGCTTTCCATAATGGTTGCACCAGTCTGCATTCTTCCCAGCAGTGTACTAGGGTTCCCTTTTCTCCATATCCTTGTCAGCAGTTGTTATTTATTGATTTGTTGATGATAGACATTCTGACAGGTGTGAGATGGTACTTCATTGTCGTTTTGATTTGCATCTCTCAGTTGATTAGTGACTTTGAGCATTCTTTCATATGTCTCTTGGCCATCAGTATGTCCTTATTGGAGAAGTGTCTGTTTAGGTCCTTGGCCCATTTTTTAATTGGATTGTTTGTCTTCCTTTTGGTAAGTTGTATGAGTTCCTTATATATTTTGGATATTAACCCTTTATCAGATGTATAACTGCCAAATATGGGCTCCAATGCAGAGGGCTCTCTTTTTGTTTTATTGATGGTTTCTTTTACTGTGCGGACACTTTTCATTTTGATGTAGTTTCATTTGTTTATTTTATCCTTAGTTTCCTTTGCCTTACATATGCCTATACTCCTCAAAATATTTCGGAAAATCCAAGAAGAAGGAATAATTCCAAACTACCTTTATGGGACCTACACTATCTTAATTCCAAAGCCAGAGAAAGACACTACAAAGAAAGAAAATTACAGAACAATATCCCTGATGAACATAGATGCTAAAATCCTCAACAAAATATTAGCAAATCACATTAAGTAATGTATTAAAAAGATCATACACCATGACAAAGTGGGATTTATTCCAGGGATGCAAGACTGGTACAATATCCACTAATCAATAAATGTGATACATCACATAAACAAATTGAAAGACAAAAATCACATGGTCATATCAATAGATGCAGAAAAAGCATTTGATAAAATCCAACACCCAGTTTTCATAAAACTCTCAGCAAAGTGGGAATAGAGGTAGCAGATCTCAACATGATAAAGGTCATATATGACAAACCTAATGCCAAAATCATACTCAATGGGTAGAACTAAAACCATTTCCCCTAAGAACAGGAACAAGACAGGGATGTCCACTTTAACCACTCTTATTTAACATAGTACTGGAAGTCCTAGCCACAGTAATCAGACAAGAAGATTGCCTTGGGTTATATGGACATTGTAATGACGTTGATCCTACCAATCCATGAACACGGTATGTTCTTCCATTTCTTTATGTCTTCCTCTATCTCTTTTTAAAATGTCCTGTAGTTTTCTGAGTACATGTCTTTTACTTCTTTAGTTAAATTTATTCCTAGGTATCCTAATTTTTTTGGTGCAATGGTAAATGGGATTTTTTTCATTTCTCTTTCTGTGAGTTCATTATTGGTGTATAAAGAGTCCATAGATTCCTGGATGTTAATTTTGTATCCTGCTACATTGCCAAATTCATTAATTAAGTCTAGTAGTTTTTTGAGGGAGTCCTTGGGTTTTCTATGTATAGTAGCAAGTCATATGCAAATAAGGACAGTTTTTCTTCTTCTTTTCCCATTTAGATGCCTTTTATTTCTTCTTCTTGTCTGATCACTATGGCTAGCAATTCCAGTACTATATCAAACAGGAATGTTGAAAGTGGGCATCCTTGTCTTGTTCCTGTTCTTCTTTCTCCAGATTCCTGTGACTATTCAGGGTCTTTTCTTTTTCCAGATGAATTTTTGGAGAGTTCTTCCTAGGTCTGTGAAGTATGCCACTGGTATTTTAATGGGGATTACATTGAATCTAGAAATTGCTTTGTGTAGTATGGACATTTTAATGATGTTGATTCTACCAGTCCATGAACACAGTATGCTGTTTCATCTGTTTATGTCTTTATCTCTTTTGTCAATGTCCTACAGTTTTCTGAGTACAAGTCTTTTACCTCCTTAGTTAAGTTTATTCCTAGGTATCTTAATTTTTGTGTACAATGGTATATGGAATTGATTTTTCCCCATTGTTATCTGAGAAGATGCTTGGTGTGATTTCTATCTTCCTGAAGTTGAAGAGACTTTGCCTGTTTCTCAATATGTGGTCTATCTTTGAAAATGTCCTATGTGCCCTTGAGAAGAATGTATGTTCTGTGGCTTTGGGGTGAAATATTCTGAAGATGTCAA